GGGACTTGGGTGAGCATTCTACCAGCTTATTCTCATCTGGGAGCCCTGCAACAAGGATTGAAAGTTCATGGTCAGGTGTTTAAGAACTCTCTGTACTTGGATGTCTTTGTAGGAACCTGCCTCATTGACATGTATGGAAAATGTGGGAGATTGGATGATGCAATGTTCTTATTCTATGAAGTCTCCAGAAAAAGTTCAGTCAGAAAAAGTTCAGTCCCTTGGAATTCCATAATATCCTGTCATGGGATTCATGGTCATGGTAAGAAGTCTGTGAAATTGTTTAGAGAAATGCTAGATGAGGGTGTGAAACCTGACCATGTTACCTTTGTATCTCTGTTGTCAGCTTGTAGTCATTCGGGTTTGATTGATGAGGGCCAATGGTGCTTTCATGTGATGCGGGAACATTATCAGATCCAGCCTAGTTTAAAGCACTATGGCTGCATGGTTGATTTGTTTGGTCGAGCAGGGCATTTAGAAATGGCATACAATTTTATAAAAGGTATGCCAGTGGAGCCAGATGCATCTGTTTGGGGTGCTCTTCTCGCTGCTTGTAGGATACATGGTAATGTTGACTTGGGCACCTCTGCTTCCAAACACTTATTTGAAGTTGATTCAGAGAATGTTGGGTACTACGTTCTGTTATCAAATATTTATGCAAATGCTGGAAAATGGGAGAGAGTGGGTAAAGTAAGGTCACTTGCAAGAGACAGGGGATTGAAGAAGACCCCAGGTTGGAGCTCGATAGAAGTAAATAATACGGTTGAAGTTTTCTATACTGGGAACCAAACCCATCCAAAATGTGAGGAGATATACACTGAGTTAAGGAGTTTGACTGGTAAAATGAAAATCCTTGGTTACATTTCGGACTATAGCTTTGTGTTACAGGATGTTGAGGAGGATGAGAAGGAGGATATCCTCATGAGTCATAGTGAGAGATTGGCAATGGCATTTGGAATTATTAGCACTCCTCCTAAAAGTCCTATTCGAATATTCAAGAACCTTCGTGTTTGTGGTGATTGCCACAATGCAACCAAACTCATTTCAAAAATAACTGAAAGGGAGATTATTGTTAGGGATTCAAACCGTTTTCATCACTTCAAGGATGGTGTTTGCTCTTGTGGGGATTATTGGTGACACATAGTTGATAGCTGCAGCTCTTCACATGGTGAGCAGGAATATACTGTCGTTCTTGTTATTTCTTCTGGGGTCAGTTTTTATTCTGCCTTGTGCAATGCTGGTACATTTTGTCTGTGAGTGGCCTGGTGTGGATGGCAGGGAAGGCTGTGGCCCCTCCTCCAAAGCTCTGATGCCTCCTCGCAGAGGAGCAACTAAGCTTTCTGTTAGCTCATGTGATGCCAAATCAATGAAAATCTACACGGTCAAAATGAGGAAGAATCAATAGTTTACAGGGGCCTTATGCAAAGCTATTACAACTCAATGGCTTTCTCAATATTGCATCACAATATTTATGATGTCACATGGATTGTTCTAATTGATCAATTGATTAAATAAATATCAATTTTTATTTTTTAATACTAATTAATATAAAAAAGTATATTAACTACATCCCTTAATATTTTTAAATGTCAAGTCAATTGGGCGTGTTTATTCATGCATGAGCCTTTGTATTACATTGATCAAGGGAAATATGTTTGCTGGATCTTTTATAAGTCTTAATTAGGCATTGTAGTCTTCGCTATTGAGGAGGATCCTATTGTAAAACTAGGTTGTTCATGTAAGTGTCCGGTATCTCATTCCTTAGGTCACTAAATCTTTTGAAAGCAAGCTATTTATAGGAGTATCAGATGCAGACTAGATTTTTTTTAGCTTTCATGAATGTATAATTGAATAATATTTTCAATTAAAACAAATTTGCTTCTTCCTCACTGTTTGTGATTTTTGCATTAGAACTGCTAGTTGTTGTAGTCTGTTTTTTGTTTTTTTTTGTTTTTTGGCCAACAAACACGGAACTGTTGTAGTCTGTTACTCTCCTGATAATTTGATTTTTCCTATTTCTTTGGTGTTAGCTACATTTGTGCATGTTTCAGTTAAGTAATTGTCCTTTGCTTGCCTATCAGCCTCTTCTTATTTTTTTCTTCTGATGAGCCTCTTTTCCAATTATCACAAATTGCATTCCCTGAAAAGTTTTGATGTGGTGCTTAGTTATGAGATTTTATCATAAATAGATAATCGGAGTACTGATGAGTATTTTCTTGTTTTTATGTCATTTATAGCAGTTCCAAGACTTTGCACTTGAAATGAGCAAGCTTATGCTGGATGTTGGCAATTTTGTTTTGGATGACACCATCTTCTATAGCGAGGATTTTGATGATTATAGTTCTATAAAGAGGAAGGTTTGTTGCTGTTGTTTAGAAACTTGTACTCTGTTCAAATACTGGATTTTGGCCAAAATCTGAAATATTTGCTTTCTGCGGCAGGAGGCATGCAATGCGAAGAGGTATTGAATGATTTGAATTTTCTCACATTCAAATTTCCAAATAGGCTGAGTTCATCCAATACCAGATTGAGCTTCCCTGGTATATTTAATTTCTTAAACCTCAACTCCTCTCAGTTAAAATCTTCCCAACATTAATTCTATATTTACCCTATTAATAAGCATTTTTATGTTTTTAGGAATTCAAACTGCAAAGTAACACCCGAAATTAGATTTACCAATCTGGAAGTTAAGTCTGGATGTTCCAATTCTTTGAGGTGCAATACATGAGGGACTCCTTTTGGTAATCTCTTCTCACTTTTCTGGAAAAAGGGTAAATTCATGTTTCATAAATGAAATTAAAAAATATACAAAATTTTACTTTGTTACATTTTTCTGTCTTTTTTTTCAGGCCACAAGGTCTTTTGGAAGTAAGCAGTTAAAAGAAGAATAGCAGAAGCAGAGTAGCTAATGTAATGTATGTCTGTGTAAACTGATTCCCATGGTCAAATCTTTAATTTGCAGCCCATCCACTTAAGAATTTTGGTAACTAATTTTCAAGTCAACTTGCAAGAAAAAAAGTGCAAGAATGCCTATGAAATTATTTAAATATTTATAAATCAACATGCAAGGGGATGGGGATTCATTAAGGGTATTTAAAGAAATCTGAAATACTGCTTTCTCCATATATATTTGCTGCTCAAACTCATCTATTATTTGAACAATAAATTGTAAATAGTTTAGTTTGTTGTTTTATGAATACAGAATATATTTTGATTGCAGGCATGAAATTTGAAATATTGATCTTCAACTGTAGCCATGCATGCCTCTCCAAGTTGCAGTCCCTTATGATTCCTAGTTGTCAGGAGTTAAAGGAAAGATGGCCTAACAAAAATAGCAACATTCTCAATGGTAAAGATTTTGATTATAAGAGATTTCAAAATGTTTGCCTTTGGCATAAGCTATGCAATGCCTCCCATGTTGCAGTTGTTGAATGCCCAAAAGTTGAAGTAAAGATGCCCAAAGTTGCCATTGCTTTGGTAATTTGTAATCACTTTTCTCAAGGTGCTAAAGTCATGTTTCATAAGTGAAATTAACAATTTATTTTTTTATTTTTTTTGCACAGTAGCTGTAGGGAGAATATGAGTGAACAATTTAGCTACCTAATTATGGATCTATAGATTTTTAATGTTCAGATATGAATTCAGGTTAGCACTGTTTTAAATTACCATTGCATCAGAACCGATTTCATTATTCACTTGATACTTTTTGAGTTATCATTTATTTTCTCACTTAATCTTTGTTTGATCAATTGTTTCAGAAGCTTAGCCATTGACTGTTACTCCATAAATTCAAGCAGAAAGATGGAATCACGTATGACTCATAGGTCAGATTCCTTGGAACTCATCCATTTAATGATTTTAGTGATTCATGTTGCTGTTCTTTTAACATATATCACTTTTCTGTGTTGAGAATATCTGTGTATGTGAATCTGCATCTTATCTGTCTCTATGTGTGTGTGTGTGTAGGTCCTTGGCCTGAAATGCACCCAGTGAATGCTCATTCAATAAGCGAGCAGTAGCAGGAGAAATTGGAGGGAAAGTGTGTTGACAAGCGAAGATAATTCAAGTACACTTGCTAGATCTTTTATCAGTACCCTTCACTAAGTATTATTTTCTTACATTGGAGCATAGTCTTTGCAATTGAGCAAGGAGAGTTATATTCATACGGTAAAGCTAACTTGCCTAAAAAGTTTGATGATAAAGTTTGTTTCTTGTAGGTGTTCAATATCTCATTCCTTAAGCCATGATGTCTTTTGAATGTAACCTATTTAGAAGAGCAGCACATGTTGATTAGCTTAGGACTTTCTTGGTGGTATATTTCATTCCTCTATTTGTGATTTTTACATTTTCTGTTGAAAGTTCATTGTTGTAGTTCGTTAATATCATCCCACTGGTTATTTGGTTTTTTAATTTTTCAGCACTAGCTGCATTTGTGCAGATTCCAGTTCAATAGGCTGTTCCTTACTTGAGTATCACAGTCTCATTTCCTTCAAAACTAGAATTCTAGGTATGTTACGGTAAAAGCTGAACTTTGATTAATGCAGATTACAAACCTTGTGGGAAAATCCTTTCCATTTTAATGATAGCCTGAAAAACTGAAAATCCTTGCCATTTTTGCAGGACCATGCCAGGTGACGAATGCCTCAAAATCTTACTTTCAAGGAACTGTTTTTTGTTTGAGGCTTTCTGAAATTTCTCAGTGGACATTGGCTGGTGTGGCTTTAAGAGACTTTCAATTGAGTTGGACTCCTTGGACTGCATGAAGTGGCTGAGAAATTGGAATACTATTCTTGCAGACATGTTGAGAATTTGATTCCAGAGTCCAAGTTTTTCCTTTCTTTCCTTGGGAAATTTGGAGCGTATCTTGATTAATCATGGGAGAAATGCTTTGGCTTTAGCTTTTTACAAAGCAAGGTGCAAACAGACCAAAAGACTGGGATGTTTGGCTTCTCTATGACCTCCAGTTTCTTCTTTTGAAACTGATAGCTGGCTTTAGGAAGGATGCTTTACTGTTCTGCTACCTTCCATTTTTCTGTCTAATGTCCTAGTTAATTACTTGTAAGGGTTGGAGTACCCCCTTGTACTCCTCTTTCTAACAAAATTTTTGCTTTGGTTAATAACAAAACTAATTTAGATCCTTGTTTGACTAATTACTTCCATAGTTCCATTGGTTATGCAATTTCTTCGGTACCAGCTGCATTTGTGCAGATTTCAATTCAGTACTCAGAAGGTTGTCCATGGCTAAAATTATTGTCACCACTAATTTTGTTAGCGTTATTAAAATTGTCAAAATTTTATCTTAATTTGACTATTAAAAATAAGTGATAATTGATAAAATAATTAATATTTATCTACTAAGAAGGAAAAAGAAAAATGAGTTAAAAGATAACATTTTTGTACGATTTTACGTGTAATTTAAATAATTGATTTTTTTTACTTATTTAAAATTTATGATATTGAGTATATCCACTCATTTAATGATATGTAAAAGTTGTATAAAAAGGAATTCAAAAAAAGTTATCCTTATATATATATATAAAAAAAGAGAAAGGAAAAAATAAAAGGAAGCCTCGGGCGTTCCCCAAATAATTAAGCATGTTAGTCCTAGCTTTATCCTAATTAAGCATGTTAGTGGATCCCTGATGCTTCCTTTTATTT